GCTGGATTGGAAGTTGAGCAGCTGGGACTTGAACTGGTGCTCATAGTGATGCCAGTGTCTTAGGCAGCAGTTTAACCCATTATGTCACAATGCTGGCACCCGACATTGATTTCTTAATTTCTTTTTCAGATAATTTAGTGTTAGTGTGAAGAAATACTTCTGAAGTTTGTGTGTTGATTTTTTTGTTTTTACTCTGCAATTTTGCTGAACTTGTTTTTAGGTGAAGTATTTTGGATTTTCTCTATATAAAGATCATGTCATCAGCAAACAGTTTTACTTCTGCTGTTTAGATGCTTTTTCTTGTCTAGTTGGTCTGGTTCAGGACGCTAGCAAAATGTTGAATGGAAATGTAAGCGTGAGCATCCTTGCCTTGTTCCTGATGTTCAGCTTTTCGCCATTGAGTCTGTGTTAGCTGTGGGCCTTTAATATATGGCTTGTCAACATTGAGGTATATTGCGTCTGTGCGTAATTTGTTGAGACTTTTAATCATGTTAGGATGTTGTATTAAATGCTTTTGCTGCATGTAATACAACGTTTTTATCCTTCATTCTGTTAATATAGAGTATCACATTTAATTATTTGTGTATATTTAATCATCCTTGCATCTTACTTGATCATAGTAAGCCTTTTTATGCTTGGTATGCTGGTATTTTGTTGAGGATTTTTGCGTCTTTATTGATCAGGGATATTGGACAATAGTTTCCTCTCTCTCTCTCTCTCTCATTAATTTTGAAAGGCATTCTCCTGATTCATTCTCCAAATGCCTGTGAGCAGTCAGGGCGAGGCCAGGACCCAGAACTCCATCAAGTCTCCCTTGTGGGAGGCAAGGGACTTAAGTATTTGAGCCATCATCTGCTGCCTCCCAGGATGTGCATTAATAGGAAGTTGGATCAGAGTGAAGGAGCCAGGACTTGAACCAGGCACTTTGATTGAGGATGCAGGTGTCTCAAGCAGCAAGCTAACCGCTGGACCATGTGGCTGCATAGACTTCTTTCTTAGAGCTGCTTTTGCTGCATTCTGTAAGTCTTGGTATATTGTGTTCTCATTTCCATTTCTCTCAAGATTTCTTTCTTTTTTTTTTTCCTCTTTGTTTCTTCCTCCTCCTTTTTTATTTATTTGATTTTAATTTTTTGCTTTCCATGTCTGGTTTATTTCTGTGGTTGGATAAATTCCTTACCTAAGTATCTATCTGTGCTCTTGTGTCCACACTGCTGTGTGTGTAGACTGTTCTATGCCCTCATGCCCTGGGGCATGCTGGTTTGTTCCAGTGCCAGCCCCAGGATCTTCCATGTGACAGCTTCAGAGTAATTCTTTAACATCAAAGATGGACATCTGAAGTGGCATCCTGATACCCTGGCTGTGCTCTGAGTCATGACTATCAGGATATTCATGTTTGGGTTGGTATTCTCTTAAGATTCTTCTTAATTTCTTTTATAAATTCTTCTTTGACTCATTGGTTGCTTTAGGAGCATATTGGTTAATTTCATGTATTTTTGAATTTTCCAAAATTCCTCCTGTTGAATTCTAGTTTCATTCCTTTATGATCAGAAAACATTCTTAATATGATTTCAGTGTTCCTGAATTTGTGAAGATTTGTTCTTTTGACCTAAGAAATTCTTTATCCTGGAGAATGGTCTATGTGTGCTTGTGAAGAATGTATATTCTGTCTCTCTGGGTGGAATGTTCCATTTATGTCTCTCTGGTCCATTTGGTCTGAAGGAATGCTCAAATCATTATTTCCCAAATTGTTGATATTCTGTCACGATGATTTGTTTATTGCTGAATGCGAAGTGTTGAAATCTCTATTATTACTGTACTATATTACTGTATTATAGTCTCTCTTACTCTTCACCTTTCTTGATACTTGCTTTGTATATTAGGTCCTCCAAAATTGGGTGCATACATAGTTTGAAATTGCTATATGCTTTTTAATTATTATTATTTTTTTTAAGATTTTGCTTATTCAGAAGGCAGAGTGACAGAGAGAAGAAAGATCTTCCATCTGTTGGTTCATTCCCCAAATGGCTGCAATGGCTGGGGCTGGGCCAGGCTGAAGCCAGAAATCAAGATCTTCAGCTGGGTCTTCCACCTGGGTGGCAGGTGCCCAAGCACTTGGGCATCCTTTGCTGCTTTTCCAGGCACGTAACCAGGAAGCTGGATTGTTAGTGGAACAGCTAGAACTTGAACTGGTGCCCATATGAAACGCCGACATTACAGGCGCCAGCTTAACCTGCTTCACCACAGCACTAGCCTCTGCTATATGTTTTTGATGAATTGGACCTCTTCAATGTAATATGACCTTCTGTACCACTTTTTACAATTTTTGACGGAAAATCTGTTTTATCTAAGTGACCTTACGCTGGCTCCCTCTTAGGTACCACTTACCTAGAATATTGTTTTTCATCTCTTCACTCTGTCTTTATGTGTTCTTATGACTAAAGTAAATTTCTTGTAGGCAGCATATTGTCAGATCTTGTTTTTTTTTTATCCATTCTGCTTGTGTATTGGTTGGAAAATTTAATCCATTTACATTTAAAGTAACTTGATAAGGACTTTCTACTGGCATTTTGTGTTCTATGGTTTGTTTCCTTCTTTTCTTTCCATCTTGATGACTTTGTGATTTGTTGTATTTTTGTAGATGTATGCTTTGACTTCTTTACTTTTTGTGTAGATACACCCTTTCTTTCTTTTGAAATTTGCCAAGAGCCTTACATATATTAGGTATGTCACTGTTTGCAATATTTCCTCAGAAAATTTGTGAGGCGATAGCAGGAAAGGACAAATGGGACACAGGCAAAGTCACTGTGAAAGGCTCTGGTGGAGCTGTCACAGTAGTGCTTTTTTCTGCTTGGTGCCATAGGTCTGATGACTCCAAGGACGCTGGAGGCCCTGATTGCTTTTCTTCTCTTAAAAGTCAAGAGTTGGTATATAGCCTTGCCAGAATGGGCTATCATAGCTCTTTTTTTTGGCATTGGGTATTCCATTTCTCACTTTCCTTTTCTTCTTATTTATTAATTTAGAAATTGAGATGTGAATTTATTCATTACAATTGAATAAAACTTAAATTGTATGTTTATTATGCCTTGAAAATTTCTAGTTATGTTTCTATTTAAAAGTGTTCTAAAGAAGTTCAGTGGGTGTGAGTGTGTGTGTGTGTTTCTGAGTGAGATGAGTTTCAGTGTTTTAGGGTTATTATTAATATTACTATTAATGTAATTTAATTAATTTAATTATTTAATAATATTAATATTATTAATATGACTTATGGCCTTGGAGTGGGCATTGTGGTGCATCGGGTTAAGCTGCTGCTTGGGATGCCCACATCCCATAGAAGTGCTGATTGGGTCTTGGCTACTGTACTTCTGATTTAGCTCCCTGCTAATGCACCAATGAAGCAGTGGTTGGTGGCTCAAGTATTTGAGTTCTTGCCAACCATATGGGTGACCCAGATGAAGTTCCTGGCACTTGGCTTCTGCTTGCACTAGCTCTGGCTGTTGAGGCCTTTTGGGGACTGAGCCAGCAAATAGAAAAATCTCTTTCTGTTTCTTTGTCTCTGTCACTCTGTCTTTGAAATAAACACATATTCAAAAAAGAAAACAAAGACTGGCATTGTGGCATAGTAAGATAAGACTCCACCTTCCGTGCTGGTATCTTATATGGGTGCTGGTTCGAGTCCTGGCTACTCCTCTTCTGATCCACTCTGTGCTAATAGCCTACGAAAGCAATGGAAGATGGCCCAAGTGCTTAGGCCCCTGCACCCATGAGGGAAACCTTGAGGAAGCTCCTGGCTCCTGGCTTTGAATGGGCCCAGCTCCAGCCATTGCAGCCATTTGGGAAGTGAACCAGCAGATGGAAGATCTCTCTGGCTCCCCCCTCTGTCTGTAACTTGCCCTCAAATAAATAAATAGATCCTAAGAAAAAAAGCAAAAACTTGTGACTTCATTTATCACAATAAGGTTTACTAAACAAAATTGGCCGGCGCCGTGGCTCACTAGGCTAATCCTCCGACTTGCGGCGCCGGCACACCAGGTTCTAGTCCCGGTCGGGGCGCCGGATTCTGTCCCGGTTGCCCCTCTTCCAGGCCAGCTCTCTGCTGTGGCCAGGAAGTGCAGTGGAGGATGGCCCAAGTACTTAGGCCCTGCACCCCATGGGAGACCAGGATAAGTACCTGGCTCCTGCGATTGGATCAGCGTGGTGAGCTGGCTGCAGCGCGCTGGCCACGGTGGCCATTGGAGGGTGAACCAATGGCAAAGGAAGACCTTTCTCTCTGTCTCTCTCTCTCTCTCACTGTCCACTCTGCCTGTCAAAATAAACAAACAAACAAACAAACAAAATAGTCCTCTTGTGTTTGGATATATGTAAATTAAACTTGTGGGTCAGTTCTGCATGTTTGTTTTTACATTTTATTTTCAGTGTTTGGCTAATACTATTCTTTATTTCAGCATTTTTAAGTTTATGTAATACATTTTTAAATTGTTGATGCTTATTCAGAATTTTAAGTCATTTGGCTATTTGTTAGACTAAGATTACTATACTATAAAGAAGATGGTAGCTTAATGATTAAGAGAATGGTTTCTGGATCTAGAATACCTGGGACTGAGTCTAGGCAGTACCATGTTCCTGAGCAGCATAGTCTAGTGTGGTAGTGACCAGTCACATGCAGCTGTTAAGCACTTGAATATGACTGGGCTGATTATCTGAATTTTGAATTGTGTTTAATTTAGATCTAAGTAGTCATAGTAGACCTCACAGTACTGAGTGACTTAATTCTCTATGGCCAGTTTGTCCATCTGTACATGTGAGAGCATATTTAAGCTACCTTTTGTGGTTATTATTTGCATATTATACAGTAATATACTTAAGAAGTTTAACACTATACCTGGAACAGAAGATGTGCTTTAGAACTAGTAGTTAATTATCATGACTTATGTATTTAATGAACTTGAGTTATTCTTTTGAGTACTAATTTAAACCTGTTTGTTTTTATTCTTTCCTTTCAGGATTTATTTATATTTGGAAATCAAGTGCAATATTAAAAGAAAAGCAAACCACACTACATTATTGGAAGCCATTTCTGCTAATTTTCTTAGATTTTAAAATTTATGATTTGATTTGAATACTATCATGGGAGGAGCTGTGAGTGCTGGGGAAGATAATGATGACTTAATTGATAACTTAAAAGAAGCTCAGTATATTCGCACTGAAAGAGTGGAGCAAGCCTTCAGAGCAATTGATCGTGGAGATTACTATCTGGAAGGCTACAGAGACAATGCTTATAAAGACTTAGCCTGGAAACATGGAAACATACACTTGTCAGCACCTTGCATTTATTCTGAAGTTATGGAGGCATTGAAACTTCAACCAGGATTGTCTTTTCTTAACCTGGGAAGTGGAACCGGATATTTAAGTACAATGGTGGGCTTAATTTTAGGTAATTTTATTTTTGTAAAATTCTATTTTAAAAAAGTGAGCTGGTCTGTATTTTTTATGGTTTATGGGTTTTGTAATATTGTGTAAAGTATGTTTGGATGTGTATATTCAGTGTGGATCTCTTCCTAACCTAACTGTGGAAACACAAAGGAATAGTAATCTTTTCATTCCCAGCTGTGGTCCTGGTAGTTACTTAGCTCCCACATGTAATCCTAGACTTACCTGGCTCCTGGTACTGTTCTTCAGCCACCGCCGACTCCCCCCCACCCCTAATCAGTTGTCTGTTGATAAAATTGAACAGCTGGTAGGCGGGAAATTCAGGAGTGCTAGATTTAATCCATTTCTGGTAGTGTTCTGTGTGCTGGCACGTAGGATTAAAGTTGAAACTTAGCAGTGTCCCATTTCAAATAGTGAGACAATTGTGCCATTTTTTTGCTGAGCAGACAGGAAGGAGTATGTGAGATGTAAAGGTGTGCCGCTTGTGGCGCAAAGGGAGGGATTGGAGAAAGACACAGAAGAGGAAAGTGTATGTTCATTAAGCTGTTGACATACTACTGAGCGTGTACTCTGCTAGGCACTGGTCCTTGTGTGAGTAGACAGCAGTGAGTAACAGGGACAAAGAATTTCCCCCTGAGTTTACTGGACATTTATGAGGGCTCAATAATTATTTCAACCACTTTACATGTAGTAACTTAATGTTCTTAATGTACATTATTAAATGTTATATAGGTAAATAAACAGAGGTATAGAGAATACTTTGATTAAAGGTACATACCTAAGAAGTGACATACAGAATATGGGTGGAAAAAGAATGGATGGAGGAAAATCTGTAAGACATATTGGTTGGAGGACAAACAACTGTGAAGTTTACTAAATTGTTTAGTACAGCCACTGAATTTACTGCATGCTGCCGTGTGGCGAGTATGAAGGTAGAACATTGACCCATGTCATTGGCTCCTGCCGTTGAGTTCACAGACTGTTAAACTAAGGAAACCCACAGCTCTCATCTAGTGTTACAGATGCCCTAGAAGAAGGTTATGCCCAAGTTTTGGGAGTGAGGCTGATATGAAATTCATTCTAAAGTGATGGGGAATCATGAAAGGATTTTAAATAGAGAATGATACTTTCTCTAGTAGGGTGACTATGTGCCATTGTGCTGAAAATGTGATTTATCCCTGTGGTCCTGGTATTAATAATGCCTTTCTTACCTCCAAAAGTATTCCAGTTTGGGTGACTGCATTGTGTGACTTCTAAGTCATTTTCAAGGTCACAGTTCCCTACTTTTGCACACTGGTGAGCGCTTTACACATTAGTAATATATTTCATTGAAAAGGGAGGAGAGTTCAGAGTTTTGTTCCACAAGGGGCTTAATCTCTGATACATAATAACTACAGGGTGTGGACTTTGGCATAGCAGTTAGATTGCTGCATGGTAAACTTGTATCCCATATCAGAATGCCTGATTTGAGTCTTGCCTCCACTTCTGATCCAGTTTCCGGTCAGTGTACACCTATGGAGGCATAAGGTGATGGCTCAAGTATTTGAGTCTCTGCCACCCACATAGGAATCCTGATTTGAGTTCCATGCTCGCAGCTTTGGCTTGGCCCACCCTTGATGTTGTGGGCATTTGGGCAGTGAACCAATGAATGGAAGATCTCCCTCTCCATCTCACTTTCTCCCTCCTCTCCCCACCCCCTACCGTGTGTGTGTGTGTGTGTGTGTGTGTGTGTCTGTCTGTCTGTCTGTCAGTCTCTCTGCCTTTCAAATAAATTGGGAATAAAAATAAATAGTAGGAAATTATTAAATTTTACCAGTAGAGAGAAATTTAGAAGCTTATGTTTAAATTTGATTCTCCTCCCCATCCTGAGATGGATTTCTCCACAGGTTGGAACATCTCTCAAATGTATTACCAGAGTCTCTGAAAAGTCAGTCTTTAGGGTTTGAGACAGTCTTGCAGTCTTCAAATTACAAGAACTTACTGGGTAGAATAGGTAGAGCTGCTTCTTCAAAAAATAAACTGAGTTGCTTTCCTTGAACATGGACATTTCTTGACCAACTCTGGCAATGTTAGGTTGGAGTCCATGCCGCATACTATTTCTGTCCAGTCTCAGAGCACCTTCTCTAGCACCTGCCCACTGGCTCCTGCAGAGAAGGCAGAGTGGGGAAATGTATATCATAATTAGCAACCTTGTTACTGTTGAGGTTGCTAGACTGATTGCCTACTCACAGTTTTCAAGAGGTTAGAGACCTGTGGCCAGATGCACTTGGTGGGAGGCTTCAAGCTTTATTGTATCTTGAATGTCTTAATTCATACCAGAGTGTGTGTAGTATGTGAAAACAGATGCTTGTGTAAGTGATCCACAGTATCCTGGGTATTTTCTTTCTGTTAAGGAAAGTGAGGGTCTTTGGTTTATTTATGTGACTATGGCTTCTGGTCCTATCTCAGGACTTACCTCTGTAATCCTGCACATTTAAGACCACAGGAAATTCTCCTTTTGATTAGAGATACTCGTTTGGTGTCCACATGGTGTTATAAGCTGCTGCTATGCTGACATCTCGTATGGTATCAGTGCCAGTTCAATTCTGGGCTTTTCTACTTCCCAACCCAGCTCAAATGCCAAGGTGCTTGGGAAAGCAGCGGAAGATGGGCCAAAGTGCTTGGGCCCTTGGACTCATGTGGAAGACCCAGATGGAGTTCCTGGCTCCTGACTTCTACCTAACCCAGTCCCAGCCCTTGAGGCCGTTTGGGGAATGAACCAGGTATAAAAGATAGATTGGTGTGTCGGTTTCTCCCTCCCTCCCTTCCCCCCTCCCTCCCTCCCTCTCTCCCTTCCTTCCTTCCTTCCTCCCCCCAACTCTGCCTTTCAAATAATTTTTTTAAAGAGAAATATTTGTTTGACAAGAAAGATAAAACATATTCACGATAGCAGAAGGAACAGTCTGTAAAACTATGATTACACCTAATCTTGAATCCACTAAGGTTTTTTTTTTTTTTTTTATGAAGATTTATCTATTTAATTAAAAGGCAGTTTACAGAGAAGGAGAGACAGACATCTTCCATCCGCTGGTTCACTCCCCAAGTGGCCGCAATGGCTGGAGCTGGGCCAGTTCAGAGCTAGGAGCTTCTTCCAGGTCTCTCACATGGGTGCAGGGGCTCAAGGATTTGGGCCATCTTCTACTGCACTACCAGGATCAGAAGTGGAACAGCCAGGACCCAAACCGGTGCCCATATGGCATGCTGGTGTTGCAGGTAGTAGCTTCACCTGCTATGCCACAGTGCCAGCCCCTCCACCAAGATTCTGAGGAAGACCAATCTTTTTTCCCCCTGCCCCTTGTGTAGTTAGTATTTTTTGTGTGTACCTCCATGGCTCTTAGCCATTTTTCTATCCCACTTCCAGGATGGAATAGGAGGTGTGTGGTAGGTGGTAGGTCCTGAGTCAGGACGTGCTAAGAGTATTATCTGGAGGAATCCAGCCTGTGGCAGGGATCATAGGGCTCCTGTAATGGTAACACAGTGAAGGAAGATGCTCCCTGGATCGTTTCCTTCTCCCTTCAGAAACATACATGGAGCAAATAGGCTATAATCTGAGAGCTCTTCTTGTTCAGTGAGAGGAAGTTAGGCTTTTCCTCAGGAAATTCCTTATGAATTAAAGTACTTTTGAAGCAGTTATTTTTTTTTTTTTTTAAGGATTTATTTATTTATTTGAAAAAGTTACAGAGAGAGGTAGAGACAGAGAGAAAGGTCTTCTATCCGCTGGTTCACCCCCTGGATGGCCGCAATGGCCAGAGCTGTGCTGATCCGAAGCCAGGAGCCAGGAGCTTCTTCTGAGTCTCTCACATGGGTGCAGGGGAAGCAGTTATTTGTAAGTTTAACTTAACCTCGTGGAGAATGGATTACTTTGACTCCTAAGATGTCTCTGGCATCTTTTAAAAATTTTTATTTATTTTAATTTTCTTTAAAAGCAGAGAGACACATCTTCCATTTGCTTGTTTACTTCTTAGTTGCTTGCAACAGCCAGGGTTGGTCCAAGAACTCAGTCTGGGCCTCCTACGTGAGAAGCAGCAACTCAAGTACCATCATCTTCATCAAGCCATCATCTGTTGCAGAGTATGTGTTAGCAAGAAGCTGAGATCTGTAGTGGAGTAAGGACCTAAACCCAGGCACTCTAATGGGTGTCCCAAATCTTTAACTGCTGCAACAGACACCCACCCGCCTCAAGACATCTTGTTTGAAATTGAAGATAGTGTTCTGTTTACCACTTTTTACAGAGAATCTATTCTTAATAGGTTTTCTTTTCAATTGGTAACAGTCTTCTCATTCTTAGGAAATTTTTTTTACCAAATAGTGTGCAGCAAAACCAAAACAGAAAACAAAACAAAACACAAATTACATTGACTTCTCAAAATGGAATTATATATCAGAACCATGGCAGAAAATTATTCTGATAATCTCAGATTCTGGTAGAGATGGTTCTTCTCATTTGATATTTTTGCTTAGGTTAGAGAGTCATTCTCGTTTTCTCATGTTAACAATAATAGGATCCTGAGGTGGAAATTGTGGTGTAGCAGATTATACTGCTGTTGGGGAGGCCTGCATCCCATATCAGAGCACTGGTTATCTGGCTACTCTGCTTCCAATCCAGCTCCCTGCTAATGCACCGGAGAAGCACCAGATGATGGCTCAAGTACTTGTGTTTTTTAGTAGCTACCTTAGCAGATGTGAAGTGGTATCTCATCTTAACTTGCCCTTTCTTAATGAATGATGCTGTCTTCCGTGAAATGTCTGTTTGAATCTTCCTCCCCAGTGTTTAAGGTTGCTGGTGTTCCTGTTACTGAGTTGTAAGTTGCTTTTTTGTTTGTTTTAGCTAAGGATTTGTTCTGCAGAGGGGAGATGGGCTCAGTTCTTCCTGGCAGTTGCTTTCCCCAGATCCTCCCACTTCCTTTTGGCAGGGATATGTGTCCCAAAAAAGTTTTTCTTGATGAACTTGAGGACCGTTTGTCC